GGTCGTGTCGAGACGTCGTCCCGTCGTGCGCCACGTCCATGCCCTCCCACGGCTGTTTCGCTCGAGTCCCGAGCGAATGCCGAGAGCACAGTTTTGGCGCAGGCGTCGTTGGTGCCTGCTTCGGACTCTGATTAAATCAGAGATGGCCTCCTGCTCATTCTCCACAACGCTGGAGGCCATTCTTCGGGGCGTTTAACGCCCCCCGCCGCCAGGCCTTCACCCCTGGCCCTACTCACTGCTCGGCGCTAGTCACTGACCTGCGCCTCGGCAGCCGCAAGCCGCAAGCCTCCTCCTCCTCCTCCACATCTCCCTCCCTTCCTCCCCGACCTTCACCAACCTCCTCCTCCTCCTCCTCCTCCTCCTCTTCCTCCTTCTCCTCCTCCTCCTCCTCCTCCTCCTCCTCCTCCTTTCTGATCCCTCCCTCGTGGACGACCCCCTCCTGGACGCTCCTGGCCTCCTGCCCTGAGGCTCGGGGTGTTCGGGCGTTGTCGTGGGTCCTCGGCGGCCGTCCAGCCTCGGGGGGCGCGTTCCAGCAGGCGCTCCTCGCCGAGAGCGCTCCAGGGGGGTGCCCGGCTCTTCTCGAGCGGCCGCACTCGAAAGCCAGACGATGATCGGGCCGGACGAAAGGGGGGGATTGGGAAAGGGGGGGGTACGAGATTTGCTGCATGCAGCTGGTTTCGGCCTCACCGAGGGGGCCATTTCTCGATACATGGCCGCCTCCGGCGCCAGGAGGCGCCGGGAAAATCAGCTGTGTGAGCTGATTCTCAAACCCCCCCTTTGCTATCCCCCCTTTCGCCCGACCCGAGACGAGGATCATTGGGGGGAATGTCGGGGGTGGACAGACCTCCTACCCTGACACGTCGATGAGCGAGTTTTATAGCGTTCAACGACTACGTCGCATCCCGCAGATGCGGATAAGAGTGAGGAGGCAGCGGGGGCGTCCGCAGTCTGCGAGGCTCTGAAGAAGCCCGCCGCGGCCCGCCTCAGGCGCCGATTGTTCGTTAAAGCAATGTGGGTGGGTCGCGGGGTGGGTCGCGGGTGGGTCGCCGGGGCGTCGCGGGGTGTGTCGCGGGTGGGTCGCGCAGATTTTTTCAAGCTATACAACGAGCCCCGCGCAGGCGGCGATTGTTTGGTCAAAAAAAAAGTGGGTGGATCACGGGTTGGGTCGCAGGTGGGTCGCGGGTGGGTCGACGCGGGCCGGGTCGCGGGTGGGTCGCGGGTGGGTTCCGGGTGGGTCGTGGGTAGGTCGCGGGTGGGTCGCGGGTGGGTCGCAGGGTGGGTGGCGGGGTGGGTCGCGGGTGGGTTGCGGGGTGGGTTCCGGGTGGGTCGTGGGTAGGTCGCGGGTGGGTCGCGGGTGGGTCGCGGGGTGGGTCGCGGGGTGGGTCGCGGGTGGGTTGCGGGGTGGGTCGCGGGGTGGGTCGCGGGTGGGTCCCGGGGTCGGTCGCGGGTGGGTCGCGGGCGGGACGACGACAATAAACGGCAACAACAATAGCAGCAACAACAACAACGCAACAAGCATAATCTTCACTACGGATCGTCCATTCAGCCACGCGCCAAGGGACAGTGGTTGACCGTTCGGCCCCCTCATTCTGACCAGATAGAATTACATACGAATTGAAACTTCAAGTGAAATGTTACTTGATTTTCTTCGTTCGCGATGAGGAAGGCTGGAAACAATGACGTCGATGAAAGGGGTGGCGAGGTGATGCAGCCGAGGAGATGCGTGGCGGGATCGAGCCAGGGAGGAGGCTATTGAGAAAAAGTGATGGGCCAGAGGGATGTTAGGAGAGTAGGGGAAGGACGGTGACGACGGTCGGCATGGCTGGGGTGGCGCCCGGGAACAGCGCAAACAACTGCGCCAGCGTCGCCCGTCGAGGCTGCATGTGGTTCAGTCTCGACAGCGAGATCTCGACCTCTGCGTGAATCCACGCCATCGGCAGATATACCAACCCTGAGTAGTTCGTGGGCTGCGACAAAAAAAACACACAACGTCAATACCATGGGCGCTGGTAGCGAGGCATCCTATCGAGGAGTGAGCCAGGTCCGACCATTTACGCATGACAAATAACCTGCGTATTACGCTCTCGCCCCCCAATGGCACATGCGCAATCGAAGTTTTTGTCGTTCCCGTTTTTTGTATGTGTGCGTGGTGTGTTGGTGGTGGCGCGCGTGGTGGTGGTGGTGGTGGTGGTGGTGGTGGTGGTGGTGGTGGTGGTGGTGGTGGTGGTGTGTTGTGTGTGTTGTGTGTTGTGTGTGTGTTGTGTGTTGTGTGTTGTGTGTTGTGTGTTGTGTGTTGTGTGTTGTGTGTTGTGTGTGTTGTGTGTGTGTGTGTGTGCGTGCGTGCGTGCGTGCGTGCGTGCGTGCGTGCGTGCGTGCGTGCGTGCGTGCGTGCGTGTGTGCGTGTGTGGTGGTGTGTGTGGTGGCGTGTGTGTGTGTGTGTGTGTGTGCTTGTGTGTATGAATGTGTGAATGTGTGAAAGGGGGGAGGGTGGGTGGGTGGGTGGATGGGTGACTAGACGGTGCACTCGCGTCTGTGCGCGCGCGTGTACGACTGTTTTTTATTTTGGGGGGGGGGGCGGCAGCAGCAGCAGCAGCGACAGAGCAGGGCCAGAGGAACGGGGGAGGTTTATGTTTGGCAACCAGAATGTGTTTGAATATTGTTTGAACATGCTCTGGTTATTTGTTATTTCCCTTCCAAAACCCACCTGTAGGAGGACATGGCCGACCTAACGGTCCAGCAGCTTCACCGCATGCGCCTTTACCAGACATGCGATGTCTTGATTGGTGCCAGTACAGTCGAGCCGAGGTAGAAGATCGGGGTCGGTTCGGGGAGGGTACCCTAGCGTCCTTCGTGCTTGTTGGATGCTGTTGTGCATCCTGGGGAGGGTACCCCTGGAGCTCTGGATGTTTTGTCTGTTTCGGACGGGGAGGGTCTGAGCACTTGAGGGGTGCTCTTCTGGCCTTGTTGGCCCGACTGTGCGCCGTGCCTCGAAGTGCCGATCGTTTCCCAGGGGCCGGACTTGCATCCCGAGTCGCTTCTTGACGGTCTCGGGGCCCGTCGAGAGCCCCTCGGATGCAGAAACGTGTAGGAAAGCATCCCGTCGTGATTTTTTGTTTATAACGCGAGCTTGTCTCCGTGTGCTTCTTTCGTCGAGGCCGCCCTGATGGGTTCCGAGCAGATGGGTCTGATGAACGCGCCGCATCGCCGATGCATCGGCGCTCGATCTGGAGCCGGATTTCTGACGTCGCCGATGTCGCCGATGCGGCGCCGACGCCGCCGATGCATCGCCGATGCATCGGCGATGCAGCGAGATCATCCGACCCTATGTTCGGTAGATTCGTGTCGTGTCGACCACCGGGGACCCTGCCGCGGGTGTTCAACGTTGAACGCCGCCTGCGACCCAGAATCGGTAAGAGTTGAAAATTCTGACGCTTCGGACACGACCGATCGTTCAAGGCTGATCGATCCCCGCGGTGTGAGAAACCAACGCTGGGGTCAACCCCGTTTGGAAGGCCTCTCGTTTCGCTCCTCAGAGGGCCAGTTTTTCATCTCTGGTTGTTTTCGACGGTCCCGGGAAGCCTCGTTTTCAAGAGTCAGTCCACGCGTTCCTCCTCCTCTTCTCCTCTTCTCCCCCCCCCCCACTCCATCATCCAGTCACCCCTCTCACTTCGGCACACACCTCAGACGTTTCGTGGCCCCCATAGGAGCTCCACCGAGTGTTCCAGTGGCGCAGCCCGCATGCGTCCCCGCCACCCATTTCAGCACACCCCTCACACGTTTCGTGGCCCCATACGGAGCTCCACCCAAGGCCCCAGTGGCGCAGCCCGCAGGCGTCCCCGCCACCTATTTTTGCACACCCTCACACGGCTCGTTGTCCCAGAAGAGCTCCGCCGAAGTTCCCACATTCGCAGCCCGCATGCGTCCCCGCTATTCATTTCGACACACCCATCACACGTTTCGTGGCCCCCAGAGGAGCTCCGCAGAAAGCCCCAGTTTCGCAGCCCGCGTGGGTTCCCGCTACCCATTTCGGCACACGCCTCACATTTTCCATGGCCCCATAGGGAGCTCCGCCGAAGGCCCCAGTGGCGCAGCCCGCATGCGTCCCCGCCACCCATGTCAGCACACCCCTTCACACGCTTCGTGGTCCCAGAGGAGCCCCACCGAAGGTCCCCGTGGCGCAGCCCGCATGCGTCCGCGCCACCCATTTCAGCACACCCCTCACACGTTTCGTGGCCCCATATGGAGCTCCACCGAATGGCCCAGTGGTGGTCCCCGCATGAGTTCCCACCGCTCGTTTCGGCAAGCCCCTCACACGTTCCGTTGCCCTTAGGGGGCTCCGTAAGAAGTTCGACAGAAGTCCCCAGTGGCGGTGCCCACACGTGTCCCCGCCACCCATTTCGGCACACACCTCACATTTTTCGTGACCCCATAGGGAGCTCCACCGAAAGTCCTGGTGGCGGTGCCCACATGTGTCCCCGCCATCCCGCCATGCAGTTCGGCACGAGCTCCACCGATGGCCCCAGTGGCAGCGCCCACATGCGCCCCCGCAACTAATTTCGACACACCCCTTATACGCTTCGCGGCCCCGTAGGGAGCTTCACCGACACCGACGAAGATAATTGGTCCTTCGCATGGCATTTCTTTACGACGCGAGCATGTCTGGGTTCCCAGATGCTGCATGCGTGAACCGTGACGCCACCAGGAGGGGGCGTCCCCTGCAACGGGCGTTGCACTGCGAAAGGTGAATCCTGCCAGTCGGACCCCTGCGCCTCGTCGCCGTCGTTCGGCGTCGTCCTCGTCGGCGATCGCGGCATCGTCCTCGTCGGCGCCGGCGTCGGCGTCGTCGCCTTCGTCGTTGTTGGCTTTCGTCGTCGTCGACGTCGGCGTTCGTCGTCGTCGTCGGCGTTCGTCGTCGTCGCCGTCGTCGTCGTTGGCTTTCGTCGTCCTCGGCGTTCGTCGTCGTCGGCGGCGGCGTCGTCGTGTGTTCCCTGCCCTCCGAGGAGGTGCCGCTGTCGGCAGGCGCTCCTCGCCGCCCAGCCCAGCGAGTGCCGCGGCGCGCCTGGGCGCGGGGCGTCCTGCTCGGACGACGGAGCGGACACGGCGGAGAGGAGGGGGCACGGTGTCACAAAGGCAGCTCGCCGGTTGGGCCCCACCGCCAGCCCAAGCGGCGAGCACGAATCTCGGAGGTTGATAGACCTCCAACCTTGGCACGTCGATTAAGGAATTGGCAGTTTTCGGTTCGCGAGAGGGCGTCGCGGCCGTCATTTTTTCGGGTCCAGGTCCGTCGGTTTCGGTCCCAGGCCGTTTTCACTAAGGGGAGGTTTGTTCAAGGGAGGTTTGTCCACCGCCGAGAATCGGGCGTAGCCCCGCACGCATTCGACTGCCCACGCTTCGTCCTCGTGCTGCTCGTGTTCCTCCCCGACCTCCTGCCGATCCTGATGGTCGTCGTCGTTCTCCTCCTCCTCGTCCTCCTCGTCCTTCTCGTCTTCCTCGTCTTCCTCCTGCTCCAGCTCCTCCTCGGCGTCCTCGTCTAGGACATCATCCTCATTTCTCCTCTTCCTCCTGCTCATCCTCCTTCTCCTGGCACCTCGGGCTTCGACGCCCTCGCTTGCCCGCTTGCAGTTTTTTTCTGGGGTCGGCGGCAGAAGCCATGGGTTGCGCCTTAGAGGGCGCCATGGGTTGCGCCATAGGTTGCGCCCTCGGCGGCCGAGAGTAAAACCGTCTCCTCTCGGTTGCGCCATGGGTTGCGCACTCGGCGGCCGAAGATAAAACCGTCTCCTATCGGTTGCGCCATAGGTTGCGCCCTCGGCGGCCGAGAGTAAAACCGTCTCCTGTCGGTTTCGCCATACGGTGCCTTCATCGGCTGAAGCTAAATCCGTGTCCCATCGGTTGCGCCATAGATTGCGCCCTCGGCGGCCGAGAATAAGACCGTTTCCTATCGGTTGCGCCATGGGTTTCTAACTTGGCGGCCGATAGTAAAACCGTCTCCTATCGGTTGAACCAAAGGTTGCGCCTTCGGCGGCTGAGAAGAACACCGCCTCCTATCGGTTGCGCCATAAGTTGCGCCCTCGGCGGCTGAGAGTAAAACCGTCTCCTCTCGGTTGCGCCATGGGTTTCGCGTTCGGCGGCCGAAAATAAACCTGTCTCCTATCGGTTGCGCCATGGGTTTCGCACTCGGCGGCCGAGAATATGACCGTCTCCTATCGGTTGCGCCATAGGTTGCGCCCTCGGTGGCCGAGAATAGAACCGTCCCCTATCTGTTGCGCCACTGGTTGCGCCCTCGGCGGTCGAGGATACAACCGTCTCCTACCGGTTGCGCCATAGGTTGCGCCCTCGGCGGCCAAGGATACAACCGTCGCCTACTGGTTGCGCCGCGGCCTCGGCGGCCGAGACTAACCGTCTCCTCTCGGTTGCGCCATGGGTTGCGCCTTCGGCGGCCGAAAAGTGAACGTCGGCGGCCAATAATAAAACAGCATCGTGTCGGTTGCGCCATACGGTGCTTTCAGCGGCTGGAGCTAAAACCGTTTCCTATCGGTTGCGCCATAGGTTGCGCCCTCGGCGGCTGAGAATATGACCGTTTCCTATCGGTTGCGCCATGGGTTTCGCGTTCGGCGGCCTAGAGTTAAACGGTCTCCTGTCGGTTGGATCCTAGGTTGCGCCCCCGGTGGCTGAGAATGAAGCCGTCTCCTATCGGTTGCGCCATGGGTCATGCCCTCGGCGGCCGAGAGTAAAATCGTCTCCTATCGGTTGCGCCATAGGTTGCGCCCTCGGCGGCTGAGCATACGACTGTCTCCTATCGGTTGCGCCATAGGATGCGCCTTCGGCGACCGAGAGCAGAACCGTCTCCGATCGGTTGCGCCCTCGGCGGCCGAGAAAGAATCCGTCTCCGATCGATTGCGCTATAGGTCGCGCCCTCGGCAGCTGGGAATAAACCGCCTCCTATCGGTTGCGCTGTAGGTTGTGCCCCGGCGGCTGAAAATAAGACCGTCCTCTATCAGGTGCAACGTAGGTTGCGCCCTCGGCGGCTGAGAAGAAAAACCGTCATCGGTTGCGCCATAGGTTCTGCCTTCGGCGGCCGAGGATACAGCCGTCTCGCATCGGTTGCGCCATAGGTTGTGCCTTCGGCAGCCGAAAGTACAACCGTCTCCTATCGGTTGCGCCATAAGTTGCGCCCTCGGCTGCTGAGAATAAAACCGTCTCCCATCGGGTGCGCCATACGTTGCGCCCCTGGCGGCTGAGAATAAAACCGTCTCCCATCGGGAGCGCCATACGGTGCGCCCCCGGCGGCTGAGAATGAAACCGGTTCCTGTCGGTTGCGCCATAGGTTGCGCCCCCGGCGGCTGAGAATGAAACCGTCTCCTATCGGTTGCGCCATGGGTCGCGCCTTCGGCGGCCGAGAGTATAATCGTTTCCTATCGGTTTCGCCATAGGTTGCGCCCTCGGCGGTCGAGCATACGACTGTCTCCTATCGGTTGCGCAATAGGTTGCGCCTTCGGCGGCCGAGAGTAGAACCGTCTCCGATCGGTTGCGCCTTTGGCGGCCGAGAATATGACCGTCTCCCGTCGGTTTCGCCATAGGTTGCGCCCTCGGCGGCCGACAATATGACCGTCTCCTGTCGGTTTCGCCATAGGTTGCGCCTTCGGCGGCCGAGAAAGGAACCGCCTCCTATCGGTTGCGCATAGGATGCGCCTTTGACGGCCGAGACTAAAACCGTTTCGTATTGGTTGCGCGTTAGGTTGCCCCCTCGGCGGCCGAGTATAAAACCGTCTCCTATCGGTTGGACCATGGGTTGTGCGCCTTCAACAACATCTAACAAGTGGCGCGCGTGCCAGGGTTCTTGCACAACACGGAGGGGGAAGGAGGGAAAGGAGGAGGAGGAGGAGGAAGAGGAGGAGTAGGAGGAGGAAGAGGAGGAGGAGGAGGAAGAAGAAGAGGAGAAGGAGGAGGAGGAAAGGGGGGGAGAGAGGGGACGAGAAACCGGAGAAGTCTCGGGGGGCGGGACGGCGGGGGCGGTGCGACGCAGAAATAAAATGGTCGGAGCGGAGGGGGGCGGGGTGCACTGGGCGGGCGGGGAGGGGAGAACGATCGTGGGGGCGGGACGTTGGGGGCCGTGCGACGCGGAAGAACACGTTCGTGGCAGAGGGGGCTGTGGGCGGGGCTCCCACTGGTGGAGCGTTGGGGACGCGGGGGGGCTCGGGGTGACGGGGCTGGGCTCCTACTGGGGGCTGGCGACGCGGGGGGGGAGGGTGGGGGAGGTGGTGTGCGTCGCGACGCGGAATAAAGTGGTCGGGGCGGAGGGGGCACTGGGCGGGGCTTAGGGCAGAGGGCCACGGGGTGGGGGTCCAACTGGGGTGCCGGGGACGGGGGGGGGAGGGGGGAGGTGGTGGGCGGGGCCCCCGCTGGGGCGCTGAGGACGCGGGGGGGGCTCGGGGCAGAGAGCCACGGCGCGGAGGTCCCACTCTGGCGCTGGGGACGCGGCGGGGGGGAGGGGGGGAGTGAGCGACGCGGAGTAAAGTGGTCGGAGCTCTAGACACCCTGCGCAAGAGAAAAGAGTGGTCGTAGTTCTGGACACCCTGTGCAAGAGAATAAAGCCGTGTCCAATCGGCTGCGCCATGGGTCGCGCCTTCGGCAGCTGAGAATACAATCGTCTCCTAGCGGTTGCGCCATAGGTTGCGCCCTCGGCGGCCGAGAATGAAACCGTCCCCTATCGGTTGCGCCATAGGTTGCGCCCGCGGCGGCCGAGAACGAACCGTCTCCTATCGGTTGCGCCATAGGTTGCGCCCTCGGCGGCTGAGACTAAAACCGTGTCCTATCGGTTCCACCATAGGTTGTGCCATCGGCGGCCGAGAGTAAAAACCGTCTCCTGTCTGTTGTGCCATAGGTTGCGCCCCCGGCGCCCGAGAATACGACCGTCTCTGATCGGTTGCGCCATAGGTTGCGCCCTCGGCGTCTGAGAATACAACCGTCCCCTATCGGTTTCATCATAGGTTGCGCCCTCGGTGGCCGAAAAAAACTCCGTTTCGTATCGGTTGCGCCCTCGGCGATTGAGAATAAGACCGTGTCTTATCGGTTGCGCCATAGGTTGCGCCCATGGCAACCGAGATCAAAACCGTCTCTTATCGGTTGCGCCTTAGGTTGCGCCTTCGGCAGTATCGAATCATATCTTCTCCTATCGGTTTCGACATAGCTCGCGCCCTCGGTGGCCGTGAATAAGAGGGTCTCCTGTCGGTTGCGCCATAGGTTGCGCCCTCGGCGGCCGAGAACGAAACCGTCTTCCATCGGTTGCGCCATAGGTTGCGCCCGCGGCGGCCGAGAACGAACCGTCTCGTATCGGTTGCGCCATCGGTTGCGCCCTCGGCGGCCGAGAATGAAACCGTTTCCTATTGGTTGCGCCATAGGTTGCGCCCTCGGCGGCTGAGACTAAAACCGTGTCCTGTCGGTCGCGCCATTGGTTGCGCTGTCGGCGGCCGGGAATAACATCGGCTCTTGTCGGTTGCGCCATTGGTTGCGCCCCCGGCGGCTGATAATTCAATTGTCTCCTATCAGTTGCGCCATAAGTTGCGCCGCCATGGGGGGCTGAGAATATAACCGTCATCGGTTGCGCCATAGGTTGCGCCCTCGGCGGCCGAGAATGGAACCGTCTCCTTTGGGTTGTGCCATAGCTCGCGCTTTCCGCGGCCGAACAAAAACAATTTCTTTTTGTTGCGCCCTAGAATGCGCCCTCGGCGGGTGATAATAAAACCGTTGCATATCACTTGCGCAATAGACCGCGCTTTCGGCGGCCGAGAATATGACTTTTAACGGTTGCGCCATAGCTTGCGCCTTTGGCGGCCGAAAAGACGACCGTCCCCTGTCGGTTGCGCCATAGGTTGCGCTTTCGCCGGCTGAGAGAAAAGACCGTCTCCTGTCGGTTGCGCCATAGGTTGCGCCCTCAGCGGCCGAAGCCAAAACCGTCTCCTATCGTTTGCGCCATGGGTCGCGCCTCGGCGGCCGAGCAGAAAACCGTCTCTCGTCGGTGGCGCCATAGGTTGCGCTTTCGCCGGCTGAGAAAATGGCCGTCTCCTATCGGTTGCGCCATAGGTTGCGCCTTTCGGCGGCATAGAATAGA